TGGTGATCAAGAGTGAGTTAACAACTTCCAGTTGCTTTTAGAGTCTCAGGAACTCTTTTAGTAGTTTTATAGATTCTAGTTCATATCAGAATACTAGATTTAATACCTATCCATCTCCTTGTTGTTGCTGTTTAGTGCTGTGGAATTGGTTCCAACTCATAGCAACCCTGTACAGGGTTTCTGAGGCTGTTAATCTTTATGGGAGCAGACAGCCTCATCTTTCTCCTGTGGAACAGCTTGTCGTTTCGAACTGCTGACCTTGTGGTTCACAGCCTGATACATAACCACTATGCTATTCATCTCCTAGGAGGTATTAAAACACCATTTAACATGTGACGAAACTGAGGATTAGTGAGATTAAGTAATGTGTCAAGGCTAGTATTGGACTGTGCGCCCAGCATGCTAATTTAGAGCTCTCTTGAGAATCAGCACCTTATCTCTCTTCCACCTCTCCTAGAGATTTGCCAGAATTGACAAATTTCGATTGCACCCTTCACACTTGGGCAGAATTGAGGATATAGAACTGGGCAAGTAACAGACCTGCCTAGGGCACCAAAGTATGAATGAAGAGCTTGAATTTCTGTTAATGTAAATGGGTCAATAAGATATGTTTTGTTGTTGCTGTGGTTCCAACTCATAGAAACCCTATATAGAATTTTGAGGAATAGCTGGTAGGTTTGAACCACGTACCTTTCAGTTAGCAGTACAATGCTTATCCTACAGTGCCACACCAGGACTCAGATATTTTATACATGTATCTGTTTTCTGAGCACTGCTGCTAGAGAAATAAGCTAAGAATGAACCAACCTTAAGATTATAATTTTCTATCTCTAAACAATATGGCAACAAAAGCTAACAGTGAGTGCTGACTCTGTGCCAGACACGGTTCGAAGTCTTTTGTATCTATTAACTCATTTCAACCTAACAACAATCCTATTATTAGTTGCCATTGAGTTGACTCTGACTCTTAGTGGCCTTATGTATCACACAATGAAACGCTGCCTGGTGCCATCTCCATGTTTGTTGGTATATTTGAGTCCATGGTTATATCTCTTTTGTCAGTTCATCTCATTGAGGGCTTCCCTCATTTTCACTGACCTTCTAGTTTACTAACCATGATGTCCTTTACTAGTAATTTATCTTTTCTGATGATGCATGCACAGTAAGCAAGTTGAAATCTCACCACTCTCCATTGTATGGAACATTCTGGTTTTATTTTGTCTAAGATTGGTTTCCACCACTCATCTGTCAGTTTGTCGTACTGTGGTGAGTTTCATGTTGTTGTGATGCTGGAAGCTATGCCACTGGTATTTTAAGTACTACCAGAGTCATCCATGGTGGACAGGTTTCACCTGAGCTTCTAGACTAAGACAGACTAGGAAGGAGAGATGGACTACCACTGAATATTTAGTCACCGAAAACGTTATTATGAATACCAGTGGAATACTGTCAGCACCAAGCCTTGGTCTTTTTTTTTTTTTTTTTTTTTTTTTATGAGCACAAACACATTTATTTACTAATCAAAGGGATGATCCTAATTAAACCAACACTTTGAAACAATTGCATGTAAATGTCTGTGTGAGAAATAATTGAACACAATAATGAAAACAAAAAAACAAAGCAGTGTGGAGATTTGCTCATTGAACTGAGCTTGTTCATTTTCACAGCTAATTACTATTCAAAGTAAAGATGGAATTTGTATTCTACTTTTTCGTAGGTCCAAGTACAGGTGACATTGTTCATAACACATTCCACAATTAATTTCCCATTTTCCAGTTTTCGTGTTATCATGCTCTCCTTCCCATCCCACTCCTGTTGTTGAACCAAAGCACCATCTGTAAAGTTGCAGACAGTCTGAGTTTTTCTGCCATCAGCTGTAGTTTCTTCAAACTTTTCTCCCAGGTTACAAGAAAACTGTGTTGTTTTCAAAGTGCTTTCCGTTTTGATGGTGAGGGTTTTGCCATCAGTAGTGATGATACAATCAGGTTTGGCCATTGCACCCATTTTTCGCAGAGCCATGCCCACTCCTATTTCCTTCATGTATTCATCAAAGCCTTTGCTGTCTACCAGACACCATCTTCCTACCAGCTGCTGAATGGTAGCCATGGTGGGCGCGGACAGGCAGATGTGCTGACCGATCTGAGAGGGTCTGGCGGGAGAGCTTGGCGTGCTAAGCCTTGGTATTTTTAATAACTTCATATGCATGTGAAAGTTGGACAGTGAGTAAGGAAGACCGTCGACAAATTGATGAATTTGAGTTATGATGTTGTAGGAGAATATTGAAAGTACCATGTACTGCCAAAGACTAACAAATTTGTGTTGGAAGAAGTAAGTCAAAATGCTCTTTGGAAGCCAAGATGTCCAGTCTTCATCTCTCATCCTTCACACATATTATCAGGAGGTACCAGTCCCTGGAGAAGGATATCATGTTTGGTAAAGTGGAAGGTCAGGGAAAAAAGGAAGCCTCCATCTAGAAGGATTGGCACAGTGGCTGCAGTAATGGACTGAAATGGAAGTTGGTGCAGGACTGGGCAGTGTTCTGTTCTGTTGTGCATATGGTTGCCGTGAGTCAGTACTGACTCAGTGGCACCCAACAACAACAATAAGTTTCATGATACAAGAAGGACCCATTGTCCATAGCCGTGGGATAAGACCAGATTGAAGTAGATGCGGAATCACATTCATTCCCATAGATCTTTGCATTTGAACCAGATGGTACTGAAGTTCAGATGCGGCTCTCTTCCTGCAGGACTTCTTTCTAGGGATGGGCAAAGGGATGCCTGAATGGAAAGTCTCACAGCATCATCTGTGGGATACTTCATTGATTCTGCTGCAGTGACATTCTATCATTGACACTTTCTCCTGGAATAAGAAGGCTTGAAAGTTTTGGTACTTTTTTAATCCAGAGTTTGATTGTAAGTGTTTCAGGATGGCTCACTGCATGTTCAGTGACTGTTATATTGGGCTAGAATGGGCTATTAGAACTTGCCAAAGGGTGCTTACAATCTAGCTAACAGGCAAACTGAGCCCTGGTGTGGCCCTGTAGGATAAGCACTGGACTGTTAACCACTCTAACTGCAAGATCATCAGTTCAAACTCCCAGTTGTTGTTGTTGTTAAGTGCCGTTGAGTTGATTCCGACCCATAGCGACCCTGTATAGGGTTTCCAAGGAGCAGCTGGTGGGCTTGAACCACCAACCTTGCAGTTCGAATGACTTTGCAGTCTGACACATTAGCCCACAGCACCACACCATCTCTTGGAAACTCCATACAGGGTCATGATGAGTCTAATGGAGTTGATGGCACACAATAACAGCAAGAGGCAAACTAAAGTCAGCTAAAGTAATCAGATGCCTGCAGAAGAGAGTCCATGTTCCTTAGTCTACAGGTTCTCAGTGATTTGGCTGTCCATTCCTCTTCAGCCACACCTCAAGGCATGCCCCTTTCTGACCTTCCCAGCCTCCAGCCTAGCCTAACCATTTACAGGTCCCACCCTCACTACTCCACCCACAGTGCTTCCCTCAGCCTCCCACTCTGGGAAATACCTCTTCATTTGTTCAAGATTCAGTTCAACTTTTGCCACCCCATTAAGCTTCTCCTGACTTCCTTTCCCCAGCCCATAACTCTGACTACGTCTCTTTTTTTGTATTCATACTGTTTCTTGAACAGACATCTAATAGAGTACCAATGAGACTTGTTGAGGTTGTTAAAGTGTCGATGAGTAGGTTCCAACTCATAGCAAGCCGCTATAGGGTTCCCAAGGTTTTAAATCTTTGTGGGAGCAGAACGCCTCATCTTTTTTCTCATAATTGCTGGTGGGATCGAACTGTGGACCTTGTGGTTCTCAGTCCAGTGCTTATGGTATGTAGCCACCGCGCTCCCTAATGATACTTTAGAGTTCACAAAATAGTAATGATATGCATGATAATTTGTATTTTTGGATACTTGATATGTGACAGACACTATTATACTAGACATTTTACATTGCTTATGTGTGGCACTGCAGGATAATGCACTGGACTTTAGGGTAAATTTGAAGCTCAAGGTTGCCGGTTCAAACCTACCAGTTGTTCCTTGGAAACTCTAGTCAGGGTTTCTATGAGTCGGAACCAACTCAGTGGCACTTAACAACAAAAACATATACAGATGAAGAAAAACAAAGTTTAAAGCAAAATAATCGAGTTCCCCAAGTTCCAGTCAACCAGTTGCTATATGGAAACCCCTTGTGTGCCAGAGTACAACTCTGCTCCATAGGGTTTTCAATGGCTCCTTTAAAAAAGCAGATTTCCAGACCTTTCTTTCAAGGTGTCTCTGGGTGGACTCAAGCCTCCAGCCTTTCGGTGAACAGCTGAGTACATTGTTTGCATCACTCAGGGTCTCCCCCTCAAGTACACAAGGCCAGACCTTTTAAGTTTTTTGAGGGCAAGGACTGTCTTGGAGCTTGGCAAGGATGTGGGGACAGGGAGTGGCTGCATGCATTAGAACTACTCAAACAAAAGGAAATAGAGAAGTTAATACTAATAAAACAAGGGTTTTCTCCACTTTGTATCCTAAGTACCAGTCCTTCAAGGTACCTAGCAGGAGTCCTGGTGTTCAAAAACATTTGACTGTGAAAGAATGGATTCCTACTGTCCTTTTAGTCAAGCTCCCCTTTCAGAACCTGGCTGTAGTAGGTAGAAAAGACCTCAAGGGGGGAGGTTGTCTTGAGGTGGGGAATCTTTCTGAGGAAACTGTGGGCAAAGGCTGATGCACCTCTAATAGTTTATCTAGTCAATAGGTAATGTTTTCTTGATTTCTGCATTGTTTGTTGTTCAAATTTCCAAAGGTCACTAAGCCTGTGCCTGGGAAAACCATGCAATTATTTGTGATAACAGCCTTTTCACCCACATTACATAGATCCTGAGTCTGATGTGGTAATCAGGTTGACTGCTCCCTTTATTCTTGAGTGTTATTCCATGATTCCTGGTATTTGGTCTCACTCTACTGGGATTCCTTTTACAGGTGAACATGTTTGTTGAAGGATTCCATGATGCCATCCTCCTCTATGTCTTGGCTTTACACGAAGTGCTCAGAGCTGGCTACAGCAAGAAGGATGGAGGAAAAATAATCCAGCAGACATGGAATAGAACTTTTGAAGGTGAGAATTCTGTCTATAAGGCAACTGAACTCTGCTTCTAATTGAGTTGCTTCTTCCCAAGTTCTGAATTTTCTGTTACCACTTGAGGGAACTTGTTGAAGTCATGATAATAATTCAAGATCGACATACTTTACAGGATTATTGTGAAAATTAAATGAGATAGTGCATGCAAACTTTGAAAAAGTATCACTAAAATAGAAAATGCCTTGTTGAGTTAACAACTGATTATTTTAACAACTTTGTGCTGCTTGATATCCAATTTGTGGCAAGTCTAATTCATAAAAGAATAGCCAATTTGTGAAGAGTTCTGTGACAAGCTTTAAAACAAGTAGTAATCCCAGATTTACCTTATTATGTTCAGACTGTGCTGATTTTTGTCAAACTCAGAAAATGTTACCTGTCATGGTTAAAATTGGATAATTAGAGGACTCTGCTTGTTATTTTCTTTAAAAATGGTATATATTAATTGTTTTTTGTATACTTTTTCAGAAAAGTATAAGAACAAAAGAAATAGCTAATAATGTCAACACTCAGACAACCTCTGTTGACATTTAAAAATGCCCAGGAATGAGATTATTCTTGGTTAGAAAACTTAAACAGTACAAAAATATACAAAATGTAATGTGAAAGTTTTCTTTCCAAACCTATCTCCTTCTCCCCAACATGATCATCATTAACAGCTTCCTATGGTTTTGTCCGGAACACTTAATTGTGCTCATGAGGAATCTGTACCTGGACCAAGAAGCAGTTGTTCGAACAGAACATGGGAACACTGAATGGTTTAAAATTAAGAAAGATGTGCGACAAAGTTGTATTCTTTCACCATACTTATTCAACCTGGAGCTCCCGTAGCATAGTGGTTATGAATCGGGCTGCGAACCTTAAGGTCAGCAGTTTGAAACTACCAGCCGCTCCATGGGAGAAAAATGAGGTTTTCTGTTCCCGTAAAGATTTACAGCCTCAGAAACCCTGTACAGGGTTGTTATGGATCGGAACTGACTCGACAGCGCTTAACAACAACAACATTCAACCTGTATGCTGAGCAAATAATCCGAGAAGCTGGGTTCTATGAAGAAAAATGTGGCATCAGGAAGACTCATTAGCAACCTGTGATATGCAGATGATACAACCTTGCTTGCTGAAAGTGAAGAGGACTTAAAACATTTACTGATGAAGATCAAAAAGCACAGCCTTCGGTATGGATTACATCTCAATGTCAAAACAAAAATCCTCACCACTGGACCAACAACATTCTTATTAACGGGAAAAAGATTGAAGTTGTCAACGACTTCATTCTTCTTGCATCAACCATCAACACTCACGGAAGCAGCAGTCAAGAAATCAAATGACATATTGCATTGGGCAAATCTGTTGCACAGAACCTTTTTAAAGTTTTGAAGAGCAAAGATGTCAGCTTGAGGATTAAGGTGTTCCTGACCCAAGCCATGGCATTGTCAGTAACCTCATATGCATGCCAAAGCTGGACAGTGTATAAGGAAGACTGTAGAAGAGCTGATGCTTTTGAGTTATGGTGTTGGAGGGGAATATTGAAAGTGCCATGGACTGCCAAAAGAACCAATAGAGCCATTTTGGAAAAAGTGCAGCCAGAGTGCTCCTTAGAGGCCAAACTTCGTCTCTCATACTTCGGACATATTGTCAGGAGGGACCAGTTGCTGGAGAAGGATATCATGTTTGGTAAGGTGGAGGGTCAGAGAAAAAGAGGAAGACCCCCGACAAGATGGATTGGCTAAGTGGCAGCATTGATGGACTCAAGCGTGGCAACAGTAGTGAGGTTGGCCCAGGATCAGGCAGTGTTTCATTCTGCTGTGCGTAAGGTTGCTATGAGTTGGTGCCGACTTGATGGCACCTAACAACAACAACAATGGTTTTGTCTAAAAATAATATGACTTCTGCCATCACCCGTTCATTTGTATATCTTATCAAAAAAAATTACACAAAAGGGATTGTCCTGGATTTAATTTTCAAGATACGTGTCAGCTTGTCTGGGCCATGATTCTCAGTGATTTGGAGTTTTGTAATGATGCAATCTGTCAGTTATGTAATTATGTAATCACCCCATGATGTTATATCATGTGATCAGCCAATCAGTTGTAAGAGGATTAGGATGGCATGCAACACTCTTACTCAGGTCACAGCCCTGATCCATGTAAGGAGAGTTTCCCTGAGGTGTGGACTTCATCACCTTTTAGCTTACAAGAGATAAATGGTGAGAGAAGGAACAAAAAGTGAGAAATGTACTACTACCAAGAAAGATGAGCTGGAATATGATTAAAACTTCTTAGCTATTACCAAACACCTTGACAACTGGGTTTGGGAAGTCAGGACCATAGTCTCATGGGACACCATGGCAAATTTGCATAACTACAAAGTCTATGAAGACAATGTTCTACATACTACTTTTGTGAGTATCTACTGGGATCTTAAAAAACTCATGAATAGATATCTAAGGTGTAACTATTGGTTTCTCCATGTGTGGAAGTAAAAAAAGTGATGAAAACTGAAGATGATTGAAATCAGTTTGTTCAATGGACTAATGGATCACATAAATATCAGTCTCCATGACTCTGAGACCAGAAGAACTAGATGGTGCCCGACTACCACTAACAACTGCACTGAAAAAGATCATATAGAAGGTTTTGGATAGAATGGGATAAAATGTGGAACAAAACTCAAAATTATTAAAAAGATTGGACTTGATGGTCAGAAAGAGACCAGAGGAACCTGAGACTATGGCCCTAAGCTACCTTTCACCTCTGGAGTGGAACAAACCCTTGTGGCCCAATTTTCAGCCAAGTGTTAGGTATGGTTGGATGGGTGGGGCAGGGGAGGGACAATAACAGTAGTAAGATATACTCACCATGGAATGGTGAGTATTCAAGATAATAAAGGCAACACTTACCTAAGGAAAAAGTTGAGAAGGATTGGAAAGAAGGGTGAAATGGAAATAAGAACCACAGGAAGAAAATGAGATAACTTGTTAAATGGGTGGTGGAAGGGTATTGCAATCATTGAGATGAAACAAAGCATATGATTTGTTAAATGTAAAACTGACTATCTGCTCTGTAAACCTTGACTCAATTCATTATAAAGAGTTAAAAAAAAAGAAAAGAAAAGAAATAATAGCTGGAAGTGGACATGTCCTTTGGACTTAGAGTCTCTGTTTTGAGAATCTCTTAGATCCACAGGAAGATTGATATGAAGACACATGAGCTGTCCAAGGAACATAAGGTTGAAAGAGTACAGAACTTCCCACTAGAGTCAACAGAGAGAGACGATTTTCTCCTAGAGTAAGGACCTTAATTCAGATGTCTAGCTTCCTAAACTATGAGGGAATACATTTTGCCATGGAAGAAAGATGAAGACATTCTGCTTCCATAAAGCCTTATAGCCTTGGAAACGCTCTGGGGCAGTTCTACTCAGCCCTACAAGCTTGTGATGAGTTGGAATCAACTTGACAACAACAGGTTTGTTTGTTTGTTTTTGGTTTTAGGAGACAAAAAGGCAGTGGTGGTTCAGCAATAGAATTCTCTCCTTCCATGGAGGAGATCTGAGTTGAATTTCCCAGCCAATAGACCTCATGTACAGCCACTTCTCATACCCAAATGGAATTATAACCACAGGCATAGAGGTTAGAATCTACCATGTGTTTTGAGGGGACACCGTCCAGTCTATAACCAACAGGGAAATAGATGGTGACAAGAGTGATTGAGTGGGATTGCTGTGGGCAGAGAAGTCCTCTAATAAATGACAGTTGAGTAGAGATCTGAGGGAAGTGAGGGGCAAGTACTGTAGTTACTTTGTTGTTGTTAAGTGCCATTGAGTTGATTCTGACTCATAGCTACCCTGTCTAGGGTTTGCAAGGAGCGGCTGGTGGGTTTGAACCACTGACCTTCCAGTTAGCAGTCCAGTGCTTATCCTACAGTGCCACACCAGGCTTCCATAAAGAACAGAGATGGGGCACCTAGATATGAACTGGGGACCTAGGATTTAAGATGTTAAGTGCTGTTGAGTTGGTTCCGAACCATAACAACCCACTATAGGGTTTCTGAGAAGCAGCTTTGGTTGCTGTTGCTGTTGTTAGGTACCATTGAGTTGGATCAGACACATAGCGACCCTATGCACAATAGAACAAAACACTGCCCAGTCCTGCACCAACCTCACAATTGTTGCTATCTTTCAATCCATCTTGTTGGGGGTCTTCTTCTTTTATTCCAACCATCCACTTTACCAAGCATGATATCCTTCTCTAGGGACTGGTCCCTCCCGAAAATATGATATCCTTCTCTAGAGTCTGGTCCCTCCTGATAATATAAGAGATGGAATCTGGCCATCCTGGCTTCCAAGGAGCATTCTGGCTATACTTCTTCCAACACAAATTGGTTTGTTCTTTTGGCAGTCCATGGTACCTTCAATACTCTCCAACACCATAACTTAACTACATCAATTTTTCCATGGTCTTCCTTATTCACTGTCCAACTTTCATATTCATATGAGGTCACTGAAAATACAATGACTTGGGTCAGGCACACCTTAGTCCTCAAACTGACATCTTTGCTCTTGAACACTTTAAAGAGGTTTTGAGCAGCACATTTGACTAATGCAATACGTTTATTTGATTTCTTGATTGCTGCTTCCCTGAGTGTTGATGATTGATTTGAGCAAAATGAAGTCTTTGACAACTTCAATCTTTTCTCCATTTATATGAATGTTGTTTATTGTTCCAGTGGTGAAGATTTTTGTTTCTTTATATTGATGTGCAACCCATACAGAAAGCTGTGGTCTTTCATCTTCATCGCTAAGTATTTCAAGTTCTCTTTGGTTTCAGCAAGCAAGGTTGTATCATCTGCATATTGCAGGTTGTTAATGAGTCTTCCTCCAATCCTGATGCCATATTTTTCTTCACATAATCCAGCTTCTTGTATTATTTGCTCAGCACACAAGTTGAGTAAGTATGGTGAAAGAATACAACCCTGGCATAC